TATTATCAAACTCCAAACTCAACACATTTGGTTGGTAACGAGGAGACAAACATTGAGGCTGGCTCAATCTGTCAGGAGGAGACTGTCAAGGATCTAAGGAGATCCAAGACATCCTCTTTTTGCTGTTTCTCAAGATCCCCTTTAGCTTGATCATTGCTGGAAAGACTCTGATGCTGCTTTGCTGGAATACACAGAGCACGCAGACTTGTTACCATTCTATCAAGAACAACTGAAAGCCCACAGTGCTAAGAAAAGCCTGAAAAAACTGGGGAGCTAACAGAGCCTAAGAGGCTTTGGGAAAAGCCATTCACCTCAGTGAGAAGTTCTCCCATTCATGCACTAGGGAACCTGGCACACCAGCAAGCCTTTTGAGTAGTCATGTGTAAAATTACATCTCTGTTGTGCAAGCTAACGTTCTACTAATATTTCCATTCACAAGAGACAAAGTGCTTAATTAACATTTATACCAATTCTCAAGCTATTTACAAACACAAAGGAGGTGGTGATTTGATATCATGGTTCTTTAAACACAGCCCTAAATGCAGATATAGTTCTTACTCCCCTTCATCATATATAATAAAATATTATACTGGTAACTGTTCTTCTGTTACAATTAAAGCTCTTCGTAAAACATCCTAAGTACGTTCATGAGAACAACTATTGTTTTACTGCCATTATTTGTTCCAATGGGCACAGTTTTGCTCCTGTGAGCAAGCAGATACAGAGACAAGGTACTACCCCACATCACAGTATCACCTTATTTGTATTAGTTCTGCACCTAAAAGTACTGTAACACGGGGGGTAACGACAGCTCAGTCCTCATAATTCAGAGTTAAAATAATATATTGAATCCCTTACTAAATCCTAAGAAACGATTTACTGTGAGGCATGTCAATCAGCAAGCATTTAAGTTAGCACTGCCACAAACTGAAGAAACAATCAACTTTCTTCATTTCCAAAGAAGCTGAAGACTGTTGCCCCGTCCTTGGAGGTGTTCAAGACCTGATTGGATGGGGTCCTGGGCAGCCTGGTCTAGCATTAGGTGGGAAAGTTGGTGGCCCTGCATGTGGCAGGGGGGTTGGAGATTCATTATCCTTGAGGTCCCTTCCAACCCTGGCAATTCTGTGATTCCGTGACTGTTGTAACTGCAACCCAAGCCTTGATATTGTATACAAAGCAAGAACCGTGATTATTAAAGGCAAGATCATTATTTTTCCTACAGCAAATTATTCACTAAACGACGATAGGTCTCATTACTTTAATTGAACAGTTACATCCTACAAATGAACCACCAGCATTAGCTGAACTCTTGTATTGTCCAGCCTTTTGAAGGCTGCTTCCACATGCACACATTTATCCCATTCTGTAAGACCACTCAGTGATGACCAGCAAAACCAATGCCACATTACCACTTTGCTATTCAGGCACGATTTATGTTGCCCACCAGATCCCAAAGCACATCTTTTAAGTTGGTTTGCATGTTTTGACAAGACCACACCTCTGTCCACAGTTAATATCCAAGCAAACCGAACAACTGAGGAAATCCATTTGTCCTCCAGCACTGCTGTCACTGTAGCAGAGGTAATATGGCACAGCTCAAACACTGAGCGTGAATGAAATCTCAGAGTCCTATCAGAAATATCTGCTCTCTTCCCAGCCATAATGCCAGCTCTACATCCATGCAGCATCCCTTCCTGCAGAAGGTTATACCTTGTTTCTTTAGCAATTAGAACAAAGAGCTTGTTCATTATTAACAGGAAAATGTAAGGCTGTTATACAACTAATGAACAATGTTCAAACTTGAGCTCCTTGAGGTGCATGTTAGAAGTTATACTGACATCTTCCAACATTAACTCTGCAGACGTGAACTAAAAAAGAATGAAACACAAACTTATGGAGCAGCTGACCATGCTGACCATCAGAAAACCATGAGCTCTAACCAACGTGCACCCCAAGCTATTACTTCTCTCCACCATCACAAAATGAACATGGAGAGAAGCTCCTCAGAGACATTACCTGCCAGTTGGGACTTAAAACCCATTCAAGATTCTAAGCTCAGAAGAAAAAACACTCTGAAGTTTTGTGCCTATTTGTTTAGGTTTTTTAATACATATATTTCTGTCAATTTAAGTCCACTGCCCACTTGGTATCAAAAGTGAAATTGCATATAACTGAAATCCAAACCTCTTTTGTTCTCCAAAGAAAACTACATACTGTTGGTGCAACGGATGCTCAGAACATTTCTTCAGTTTTCAAGCAACGCTTAGCAACTTTCTGACTTACACACATCAGAGAAAAGCACTTGAGGAACTAACATATGTCAAAATCACACAGACAAATGCAGTCTCTGCAACTGTTTTTCCAAAAGCTTAAAATACTGTGGCCAGCAGCTATCAGCACCACAGCCCTTCGCCATGTTCCCCCATTCAAGAGAAAAGCAAAGAGTTTAAGAACTTGGCACCCATAACATCCATAACTCACCCCTACCATGAACTTCATTCAGCAGCTACTCAAAAGAAGAGCTGTGTTTTTCTACTGATACCCCCCTCCTCTTCCCCCAAACACATCAGGAATTGAAATGTTTTTTATCAAACATATAGATTTAGAACACAGCTCGCTACCTCAGCCTTTAATTTTACTTTATTCTGCAGTCCACACACAAGAAAAATGACATGATTATTGACATTTTTTCCAAACACTAAGCTTAGTTATCTTTACAGACATTATTTAAAATTGTTATTTTCATTACATATTCAAACTTTAAGCATGACAGTGGCTTTTATTCATAAGTCCAGCAAAACTTGAACAGAACAATACTTTTGTGAATTACCTTTTATGTAAGAGGCAGAGGAATGCAAGGGAAATTTAAAATAAACACTTATGTTTCCATAATTTAACCCTATTTTTGGATCCTACTTTCTCTTTTCATATTCATTAGGTACAGGAGAGCATAAGAAGCAGTAAATGAACCGTATTACATTTTGGCTGGGGTGAACTCACAGATAGGATGTTTGCACTTCACAAAAAAAGCAATTTTATTCCATGGGGAAGCACCCCCACACCTATTTATCCCCAAACCCTTACAATGAGGGTTGTTTGACAAGGAAGGAGTCAGATCTGAGGGGAAAGACATGCTTTTTGGCCCCAAAGCAGCCCTGAGCTGGGATTCTCCAGCAGCAGGAAGTTTCTATGGGGCCTGCCGAGCATGCGCTGTGAGCCCAGCAGTCTCCCTATGTGGCAAGAGTGCAGAGGCAACAAGCAAACCAATAATCGAGGCAGAGAGCAACAAGCACCTTCCCCTCTGAAACCCTGCTGGCATCCCTCCCCTAGGCCCCCGCGCTGCTGCCCAAGGCCCTCCTGCAGCCATCACAGGGAGATCAGGGTCTGGCAACCTAACCCTTCATGTGCTGAAGGGAAAGGAGAGGAGAAGCAGGCAAGACATCCTCTGTCTCTGCCATCTCAGGGGGTGTCATTGGAAGTGAGCAAGGAAGAAGCTCAAGCCCCCATCCCAGTTGTGAGAGGAGGAGGAGGAAAGGGGGGGAGGAAAGGATGGAGCACAGCACAATGGCTGTGTGTGTGTGTGTGAGGGGGGGGAGAAGGAGGAGGAGGAGATCACCCACAATAGCAGTGCTGGGGGGGAGGGGGGGAAGCTTCTGCGTGTCCCCCCCAAATACACAGAACAGGGAGGAGACCCCTCTCCATTCTCCACCCCACATAGAGGAGAAAGGAAAAGGGGGGGAGAAGGGAAGAGGCAGAGAGCGCTGCCCAGTACCACTCCCCACTCTTTTTGGTTTAGGGAAGAAGTAGAAAGGGACACAGACTGGGGGGTGAGGGGAGGCAAAGTGGCAACCCCCAAGCAGTGAGAAGAAGGGAAGGAGAGAAGACCAGATGCCACCACTAGCCTAAACAAACAAGCAAACAAACAAAAAAATAGTTATTTAAGATAAGCTTAAATAACAGGGAGCCGATGGAGGGGGGGCACAGCACTGAGGGGGGCCACCACCTTCCAACGCCTCACTGAAGGGGTGTGGGGGGGGGGGGGGGGGCAGGGAAGAGGCATCGAGAGGCTCCATCCTTCCCCCCCACACACCCCGAGGCTCCACTCCGGGAATCCCAGGCCCCTCCTCTCCCTCAGCGCGCTCCACCCCCGGGGCCGGGAGGAGGCGGGGGGGGAACAGCCCCGGCCCCCCCCCATACACACAGCCCCAGAGCCCCTCACAGCGCGGCCTGCCCCTTCCCTGAGGCGCGGGGACGAAGGAAGAAAGGGGAAAGGGGAGGAGAGAGCTGAGGGAAGGGACCCCCAGGCCGCTCACCCTGGTCTCCAGGTTCCTGTGGGGGCTGTAGGACGCGCTCCAGATCGGGGAAAGGCAGCTCGGGGAGATCCAGCAAAGCACCGTAGCGTTCAAGGAAAGAGCAAACGACGGCGAAGTTAGGCCAAGAGCCCGGGCAGCACGGGCCGGCGGGAGGAGGGGGAGGCGGCGATGGAGCCGGAGGAGCCGCCGCCGCCATCTTGGACCCGGGGATGGAGAAGGAGCTGGGGAGGGGGCGGGGAGGGAGGGGGCGCTGCCGAGCTGCGCGCCGCCACGATCCCACAGTGCACCGCGAGAGGCGGGGAGACGGGGAGGCGTCGGCAAGAGCGTCTCCGGGCGGCTCCTCTCCTCCGCGTGCGGCACGGGAATGAAAACAAGGCGGGACGCGAGGAGGGCGGAGGGGCTATTTATAAGGGGGCGGGGCCTCAGGGCGCCGCGGCCAATGGGAGAAGGCGGAACGACAGCGCTGTGGGGAGAGGGGGTGGAGCCGGGAGGCGATGCTGTCCAATGAGGGAGCGGTGGGCGGGGCTTGGCGCTTCCCACCCGCGTGAGGCCGAGGTGGTTGTTGTTGGGGTCGGGGTCGCGCGGGTGGCGGGTGAGTGTGGCGCGTAACGGTCATAACGGCTCCGCGAGCGCTGAGAGAACGGGCGGGAACGGGCGGGTAGCGGCGGCGGTGGCCGCGGCCGCGGCCGCGGGGAAACCCTGGGACGAGTAGGGCTGTCCTGCGAACTCTGGGAGCTTAGGCCTTGCCGCTCAGCTGGCGTTCCGTGGGGTTTCAGGAGCTCTCTCCTCTCTGTATCTTTTATCACATAATACGTGGCCTCCAGATTTTTCGCTGCACATTGCAGTAGATACCATATAGCAGATAATTAAAAGCCAACATTTGTTGAGGAAATCCTTGCTGGTTGGTGATTGGACTGTGCCCTCTGTGAAGAATGTCCAAAGGCCCCCTTAAGAAGTTCATTCTTCCTCGCTTTGGTTTAAGATGCCTTCCTTCACACTTTGCTGATGCTCTCTGTCAGTGCTGTGGAGATATTTTTGATCTCTGGATTGCATTTGATGTTTTTGAGGTCTGTCTCAGCTCCTGCCAGTTCTGGGTGATCGGTTCTGCCTTTCCCCTTGGTTTATGGGCATTTTCACTCAGTTGGGAGCAGCGCCGTCGTTTTACTTCACCACGCTTTTGGGAAAGTGGTCCAATGAACCTTTGTGTGAACCCATCGCATTGCAGATGTGTGAGGAACAAATCAAGAACGTATTAACCCAGGCAAATTGCACTCCCCTGTAGCTGCGTGCCTGGCTTCCTCATTGACAGAGCACCTGTCTCACTAACTCACAAAGCAGCAAAGGAATAATTGCCCCGTTATTCTCTGGCAGCCTCAGACCTGTGCTGAATCCAAAGTAACGCTGCTTTTCCTTCATGTGGTGCTAGAAGCAGGGCACTGAGATGGATGTCACGTCGTGCTGCCGTTTGTTGTAGCGTGTGCAGCACAGGGAGACGATCCAAAGATTTCTCTTTGCTGAAGGCTCTTCCTTTAATGGTTGCCACTGGGGTTCTGAGAGTCTGGATGTCTGGAAGGATCTGCTGCAGAGGGTTTCTGGGTGAGCCATGAGCACAGCTCTGTTTGCTGCAGAAATAACCTTCTATCTTTGTCATGCAAGTTTCACACCATTCTCTTCTTCCCTTACAGTTCAGAAGGTCATTACCTTTGAGACGCAGCAGCTAGCAGCTGTGCTAATCTAAAGCATTTCCAAGGTACCTCTGATTTGTGTCTTGCCATCCAGTGCCAGAATCCCATCACCAACCAGATTGCAGTTCCTTGAAGGGCTGAGAAAAGGGTGTAAACTCCCATGGTGCAATGAGATGATGCTTTCTAAGGCATGGTCTCTGCCCTGCTGATGCCCAGCTGTGACTGTGATAGCTGGTCTGAAAATGACTGTGGTTAATACCAAAAAGCAGTTGCTCTATAGCAGCACTGATAAGGCCTCAGCTGGAGCACTCTAACTGGTTTTAGGCAACAGACTTCAAAGGAAGATGCATACCAATTGCTGGTTGTCAGGAAGGGGAAAATGAGAAAATAGGCAGAGATTTAGAAAATGCGACTGATGGAAAGGCCAAAGGGAACAGAGATTTATTTAACCTAAAAGAAAGGGAGAAAAAAAGACCCGAGGATGGTTATCTTAAATCTTCAGGAAAGGAAAAGATGGTGGAAAAGACAAAGACTAAGCTGTTTTTCTTGTCTACAACAAAAATCTTGGAAATGATAACTTTAATCTGAAACAATGAGGACTGAGGTATGAAAAAAGACATTATTTGTCTGCTTAACTGTCCTGAGAAGTGATATAGGGAGACTTGATGTCTGTGAGGAATGCCATGGGAGAGAAGACTTCACCCTTTGGGTGTCTGAAAGTCATTTGCTACAGCAAGTGGGAATGCCGTTGTTTTGTTTTCTACTGGATGTTGCCTTTTAACAAGAAAAGTGCACAGGTCAAAAAAATCCATTAGTTTAAACTCCCTGTTCAAGATTAAACTCTTCTCACTACCTGCTAAAGCTAAGAAAGCAACAGCATGTTTGATTGTTTTAACCTTATTAATTTAAATTAATAAGCCTGTACGTACAGTATGGCTTAGAGGGTCAAAGAAAGAATGTATGTATCAGATCTTTTACAGAAGTCTACCATCTTCATTGTATCTTTAGGAAAAGATTAAAACCCAGATTTGAAAGGATATTCAGGGACCTCACCCCTGTGGATTGTTTTGAAAGTTGAGCACCCAATACTTTTACAGATTTCATTTGTAGAAATTTGCTCAGAATCCTACCAAAACCCTCAGGAGGACTGCTGGTAATTCAGCAAATCTGATCCGTCATTCAGTTCTGGTGCCACAAAGTGACATGGATCAAGTTTGTAACGGTGGATTCTCTCAGCTCCTTGAGGCAAGGACATACTTCGAGATTTTTATTAACACACTCTGTACGTTGGCCTGATGTTATGCATTAAATATCTATTTTTCAGACCTTGGTTCAACTCAGCAATGTCTTCCCCTGAAATTGCTTCTCTGTCTTGGGGGCAGATGAAGGTGAAAGGCTGCTCTACAACATACAAGGACTGCAAAGTGTGGCCGGGAGGAAGTCGGACTTGGGATTGGAGAGAAACTGGCACTAATGTAAGTTTGCTGTTTCTGTCCATCCCACGCTTTAAACGGGACTGTGAGAGTAGTAAATAAAGATTGTCTTGTGGGATACAGACAAATTTATGTGAATAAAAAGAAATCCACAAGAACTGAGCTTACACGTTTGGAAGAGAACAATGCATGCAGGTTAGTTCATATCACTTGCGTTGAGATTCTTACTGATTTTTGAGTAAAAGTGTGCAAATACAGTGTCATATGTGCTAGTTTCTGCATGAAAAGCTCTCAGTCTGGCTAACTGCAAAGACTTGTATTCATAGCCCTTTACCAAATGAATACCCTTACAGTTTTTGTATCCCTTAAGCTTTATCTTTAAATGCTATCAGAATGTATACAAGTAAGGCAATAATATTGATATTTTGGACTTAGAAGCAGCATGATAACTATCGTATTAGGAATTATACGTTGATAAATTCATCCTATATCAGGGCTTACACTAAGATAGTTGTATTGGCTAAGAAGAAAAACCTAATCCACAAGAGTCAAAGCAAAAAAGACCTGCAAACACATCAGGTCCCAGAGCCAGACGTAGGCCCTTCCAGTCACTGCTGTATTCATTTTGGCAGAACTTTGGTTTTGGAACTTCCAATATTATCTTCTAGGGAATAGAATTTGTTAAGCTGTCAGTCTATGAAGAATGTATAATGCAAAGTGAAAAGTAATGTTGCTGTATAAATGGTTTGCAGAGAGAAATACAGCTGTGTATATAACCTTTTCATAGCCTTTCATTTATGGCCTGATTAGCAACAGTGAAGTTTTCACTTTTGGGCTGTTTGAAGGCCCTGAGCTGATAGGAGCTGTAACTTTTTTGTTTTTCAAGAGGAATCCAAGTTTTAACAGTAATGATTTCCTGCTTTAAATACACATATGGCTGGAGATAGAGAACATATGCAGTAGCTGAAAAATTCCCAATAGTTTCCAACTCTATCACATTTTTATCTCCTTCCAACCATTTGAAAACTCTGTTTCAGATTACAACCACCTACTAACATTTAGGGGGACATGTCTTCCTTTTAAAGTTTCAGACAGAAGGTATCAGGTGATAGGGAAGACTTTAAATCTGGATAAGTTCTTGGATGAATCCTCCATTTAAACAGGAGAGTTGGATTTGTTAAATGAAAAAGAGAAAACTAGTTGGATTATTCAGAGAAGCAGATATTCTGCATCACATTTAGCAAAAAAAAAAAACAACCAAACACTTCAGGTTTTCCCATAGAGGCTACTCATAAAGCTTCTTCCTGAGGACAGTTCCATTGTTCTCTTACAGCTATGGCAGCCACAGAGTTTGGTGATTCAGTTTTAAATTGAATAGCAAGCAACAAATACAGAAGCTTTTTAGACTGCATCTCCGAGTCTAGAAAAATTACAAAGGATTTAATTTGATCTTTACTGGAAACAGTAGAATTCACTGGATTCATTTTCTGCATATTTCTTCATGGTAGACTGCAGTGTGTCTACATTTGCTGGGTACGTTTTACCTGGGGCTAGGTGGAGCTGTTCCCTGTGTTTGGTAAAAAGGCAGTGCTCCTCATGTCCTCCACTCCAGCTAGAAGTAAATCTTTTCCTTGTCTGCTATCAAACCGATGCCTAGTAGGTAATTATTTCATCAGGAAGAACTGTACAACTTGCTGCACGAGATTCTGTAACTAAGCACTAATAAATAGCTCATATGACCTTAACCCTTGGGGATAAAAGGCAGCCTCCCTGACTGGCTGCATTTCAGTGCCATCTGCTAATGGGAGAAAAAGAGTCCTGACGAGAAGACCAGAGAGCAGAAGAGGCAAGAAATTCTGCTGCCCTTTCTCCTTCCCTCCTGCTGTCACAGGAATTACCTGCAGTGACACAGTTATTCCATCATGTTGCATGTTTTCTCTAATGATAGAATTTTCCTACTGCTGGAAGCCCCTCGATCAGAGTGCCTTGTGTAACAAGCTCAAATCCTTTTGTTCTGTGGCCGTCATGGCTCAGCAGTACCTACTGTATGATAGCAAACTTCCCCAGCAATCTAATTAATGTAATTGCAGTAAACTATCCCTGTTTTGTCTTAAATTTTGAGTCTACCTTAAAAAACCCCAATGGCAAATCATTACCTATTCTGTCGTAAACGCATACGTGGGATGATTTGGCCTGATAAAGCTCTGCAGCTGAAGTAGCAGTTTAGGTATGGATATCAAATCTAAATGCACTTACAGAGAATGCAACTTGGAGAACCAGAAAGGTGAACCATCTCTTGCTGAAATTCCAGACATCTTGATGTTAATTCATTGAAATAATGTAGCAGTGAGTACAGGGGATAAAGATTTATGGGCATCTCCATAAAAATAATGTTCTGCAAAAGTCCACTATGGCATTACTTAATTCATGGGAGAAGACGGTCTCAGTCCTCTCAAAAAATACTTAAGTATCCTATTAAAATAATAATAATAATAATAAAAATATATAGAATACATTAAAATTGAAGCTAAGGGGAGAATTAGTGTGACATAATGATAATTTAATTTAATATCACATGTCTATTTCTGGATTTGCATGTTTGAAGTGTATTAGTACTATAATGAGCATGCAATCAAAATCCTGTTACAGATCATTTTTCTTTCTTTAGAAAGAGTTTAGTTTCAGAGTTTCTTTCTCAAAATTAAGAATAGAGCAAAAATTGGAGATATTACAGTGAAGCCAAGCAGCACTTCAGTCCTCTTCGGTAAATGAGATTTACAAAGTAAACAAGAAAGGAATTTAATCATTTTAGTTATAATTCAAGTGAGTAAATTTGAGCTTCCACAGTCTGTATTAAGAGCAGGTTCTGTTCACTTTGAAAACAAACAGCAGTGCACTGTGATTTATTGATCTCGGTGTTAATGCTGATGAAATGCCAGTTGTTAGACATAGGTGTTTTAGGTACGTACCACGTATCTTTTCATTTTTAACTACTTAAGAAAAACATCTTTATTACCATCCATTGATTGACTGTCATCCTTCATCTGAGGGTAAAATACCTCTTGAAATTGCCACTGCTAGTGTGCACACAAGAGCTGGTTTACACTTTGGGATAGCTCCTTTATCCTGCTAATCAAAGGACTGATCCAAACACAGACACATCCTTCCTGGCTGATGTTGTCAGCACACAGACTATTGCTTTCTTTCCCTGGCACTTAGCATTCTCCAGGAGTGCAGCCTGCTGACCTTGAAGAAGTTGTCAAGAAGGGTGTTAAAACTCTCGTCATTGGCCGAGGCATGAGTGAGGCTCTGCAGGTAGGTTTTTGTTCCCCAATAAACATAAACTAGAGCTGTGTTTGCCTTTCTCTTCTGGAGGATGGGTTAAAAAATCCATGATGCTTTAGTAAAAGCAAAGAAGTTGGGGTTGCTGAATTAACCAGACTGAATTGCTGCCAGGAGTCATTCTCTTCCTGAAAGAAGCAGCATTTGAGCTCCTCACTGTTGGTGTCAGTGTCAAACAGAAAATAGGTTTACATTCTGCTACAGAAGCAATTTAAACAAGGAGCTCTTTTTTAACAATGTCATTAGTCCCTGCTCTTAGAAGAGGTTGTGAACTAGCTCTAGCCTGCTGTAAATACTCTGATAATTAAGGCCTATTTGTCACTAATGTTGGCAGTGTCCTTGCAGCAGGTAAGCCAGTTACAGAAGGCTGAGAAGGGCTGAGCTTCCCTTCATGAGGAGCAATCCTTCAGGTTTTTGTGAGCTGAATAACACCTAATTTCTATTGTCTTTAGCTCCAATTCTATTCCCTTCTGTAAGAACAAGCTGCACTTATCATAGAATCATAGAACGGCTTGGGTTGGAAGGGACCTCAGAGATCATTAGGCTCCAACCCCCCTGCTGCAAGCAGGGCTGCCGACCTCCACATTTAACGCTATGCCAGGTTAGATGTATACTTGCAGGAAAGCAGCATGATATACAAAACAGCTTTATGAAGAAACCAGGACCGTTGCTTAAACAAAGCACTTCAAACTGCATTCAGGAAAAAATAGGAAGTTTGTATATACTAGCTTTATTGAAAAGAAAAAATGGTATCAATCTTAAAAATACATTATCAGTTTGTCTACTATTAGTAACTTAAGTGAACCTATGCACAGATGGCATCAGTACTAAGAAATGCCAGCAGCCTCCTGCAGATTGGAGAATTACCTAATGATTGCTTTTTCCTTTTCTCTTCTGAGGTTCCTCCATCTACCGTGGACTATCTTAAGAAAAACGGGATTGATGTGTTGGTGTTGCAGACAGAGAAGGCAGTGGAAGAGTACAATGCCCTGGCTGCTCAGGGTGTCAAAGTGGGGGGAGTCTTCCACTCAACGTGCTGAAGCACCGCTGCTCTGCAGCCTGCCCTGACCTCAGGCAAGCACTGGGCATGCCTTGGCTGCATCAAATTACACTCAGCACAGCGGGGAAGTACGTGCCAATGCATTAATGTGTGCTGCAAAGCTAAAATGCAAGGGCAGTTTATGAGTTCAGGGTTTAAACAGAATGCTGTTAATGAAATCTTTTAACTGCAGAACAATTTGCATGCGTTCTTGGGATTGACCTAATCTTCCTCTGTAGACTGTGTGCATTCTGGTTACTTTTTGGCTAAATTAATGAACTCTGGTTAATTTTTGGCTAAATTAAGACACTAAGTTGTGAATGCTTTGATTAGGAAGTGGTGCAGAATTACATTATCAGTTACTGCAGCGTAGCCAGAAAATATCTGATGATGACAGTCAAGTGGTAGGTATGAAGTGGTAGCAAAGGATCACTTTATAAATGAGTTCAATAAAGAAACAAAACACAGGGCAGCCCCAGAACAACAGCTCTGCCTCCTGCTGGTGAACTCACTCAGGGTTATCACTCGACACTTTTCTTTATGCAGGATATAGAAAAAGCTGTCTACTGGGAATGAACAGAACCTGTGCCTTAAAGTTTTTTATCATTAATTGAAATGTGAGCATTGAGTTGTGGAATATGTATCTATGCGAAACTCCCTACCTGCTTAAAATGATCAGGAAGATCTGTCACAGAACTGCTTGTAGGAAAGCAGTCTAAGTTGCTGCTAGCAAGCTGGGGACAGAGGTAGAATTCTTACCCAGCAGTAGCTGCTGATTTAAACAAATGTGTTGTTACTCTGAAAAAAATTAAAAGTTCTTTTAGTTGCTGTTCTCCTTTTGTTTCGCCTACTTTTATTAATATTACCAGTTACTTATTGTAGGTTCCTTTCTTTTCCACCAGGCTCACTAAATTCTTCGTTGGTGCTGATGAAGTCTGTGTCTATTAGCAAAAGAACAGAGATGATGCTGAGAAAAGTCCTGAGGCACTTGGAGCTATCCAGGGGGCAGCAGAGAAGCTCAGATGGGTGTGAGAAGTAGATTACTTTCCCAAGCCTCAAGAATAACCCTTTACAAAATACTTCACTCTCTTACTATTTGTTCTAGTAATCATTTTATCGATAAAACACAGCATGGCATAAAGGCAAAGGAAAGTTGAGTGCCCCTAAGTTTTATCTTGCCATCTCCTAATTGCAGCAATTCTTTCTAATAGCGTAGCTGTATTTGAGGCACAACCCTGAGCTAAACCAGCAGGAACTGCCTTTTCAGCTGCATATGTGTTTCCTCTTTGCAAACACCATGACATTTTTTCTGAATAATTGAGACCCAGAATTCTGCAGCCTCAAGAGAATCCTAGAAACCATCTTTGCCACTGCACTGTGTGCAGACTTGTGTTCATTAGCGTTAGCTGATAGTGGAAAGCAGCTGCTTCTTGATCACAGTTCGATATTTGTGTTATTTCATCATCTTTTGGGCCTTGAACAGGAAGAGGCTTTCATTAAGGGGATAATTCCAGTTTCTTAAGTGCTGTTACTCTGCTTGGAGAAGTAAATACCTTTATCTTTTTCCTACAGGTTTTGTTTGTTGTTTTCTACTTTCATATAGTACTGAAATAGTTTTTTTAGATGAAGCCCCCTTCAAAAGCACTGTTTGGCCCAGTCCCTGCTCTGAGAAAAGCACCACGGCCACCTATACTGCTGTTACACATTGTGTCCTCCCAGAGAGCAGGAGCACAGCCTGCTCTGCACTGCCAGTTGACTCTTAAAGGTGTGCCCTGCCCAGCTTTGTGCTGCAGCCTCTTCACTGTTCCCTCCATTTGGCAACTAGTAGGAGACAGAAGATTCCACTTCTAAAATGGGGTGCTGCAGCCTGCAGAGGAAGGTAACTGCTGGGTCTCAGTTTCCCTATTTTAGAGTAAAATTGTGAGGTCTCACTCCTGTCTGTACGAAATTTCAAGGAGATAACGTGCTGCAGGTCTTCTCCATCTTTACCTCCTGTCACTGCTGCCTGAATGAGCTTTGTCTGTTGCCACAGAAGTCAGCCCACCTTGGGCTGCTCCGCTTAACCAAAGCCCTCTTTCCTCCTTGGTGCACAGTGTAAACAGCTGGGACTGATTCATCAAAATTCAACCTGAGCTCAAAACGCTCTATTAAGTCTCTGCTTACAGCTAGAGCCATCAATAATTTGTTAGAACTACAATCTCACTGCCCAAATCTTCATAGGGCAGGGCTTCTCCATTGCTTCTATGCTTCCCCCAGGAAAGCGATCTCCCACCCCAGCACCCCCATTACACAGAGCAGGGCTGGGCTGGCAGCCAGTGAGCTTCCACCCAGCTGTTCCACTGCTGAGCCTGCATCCGCAGCCCTTATCTGCGTGGAGCAGCACGCCTGAGCTGGCAGCAGGGAGACACAGGCTGTAAAAAGGCTCCAACAAACCAAACACATCATGAGCAGCATTTTTAAGGGATGTCAGGCAGCATTTACGAGCCTTCAGACTTGTGCGTGAGGCCTCAGTAACACTGCATGAGTGAACTGCAGGCTAACCCCAACCTGCACCCCAGCCTAGCGCCTGCTGCAAGGACTAAACAAACACATGAGTGACATGAGATGATTGTATCTCTGATTTTTTCAAAAGATTTGAGAACTCAGCCAAGGAGGAGACCAGAGGAAACCCATCTCCCTGCTCTGGAACCCAAGAAGAGGCCACGTGGCCATATTTAAATACATGTCCCATTCTTCCTTCTTTGGGGGGAAGGAAGGGGAGAGTGTCTTTTTTTGCACTCTTTGCAGTGTGCAGTTTTAAAAGCACATAACTAAGATATATGAAAGTATGGTTCTATGGAAGCCACTCTGCATCTGAGTTAGTACCTCAACCATCAACTCTGTTCTTAATGCACAGATGTATTAAGCATTCTTGATAACTGCATTATTTACTTTCCAAGTTCTAAGGAATTGTCCTCATTAATTCCAGTGGATTTAAGTGGCCTGGTTATGAAGCTCCCATTAAAGGCATACAAAGCTAAGCCACGTTTAATTAAGGTAAAGGTAAGCATAGCAACACGTTTATAAACCTCTAACCCATGCCCCTTACATCAGTGTTCAGCAGAAAAGCCTGAACAGAATCAGAAAACCACTCAGGTTGGAGATGACCTCTCAAATGAAGTCCAATCATCAGCATCTCACTGCTGTGCCCACTGACCACATCCCTCAGTGCCACACCTGCACCTCTCAGACCTGGGGGAAGGAGGGAGAAAAAAAGTCAGCACTGAGTTAGAAGCTCTAACAAAACCTTTTATAGATGGGATGTACATGAGTCTGCTTACCAGTGCAGCAGGGAAAAGCAAAGGTATATGAATTTTGGGAAGATTACAATAAAGAAAAACACATGTAGTACTGAATGTTCCAATCATCACAGAGCGTTATTGGACACATTTCAGTTCAGCTAAAATGATGAATTGGTCAGCTGCTTGAATAGAGGAAAGCTGTGATGAAGAGGAGAACCTCCAATTTCTTCCACACTTCAAGTCAGGAGTCAGAGGAAGTTCCAGGACGGTACCCAGCAGAGAAGCCAGCTATGGGATACTCTCATTACAAGGCTGGAAATGTGTAGCAGTACGGTTTCTAATAACACGCATCAATCCCTGCCCACAGAGAAATGAACTGAGGATGCTGAAGTCCAGTGGTAACAACTGAGCTGCTACACATGCAGCTCTTCAAGCCAGTGCCCTAAAGGTGAAACACAAACAGTTTGTAAGAGGTTTTCTTCATTTTACTGCTATTTGATTTTAGAATACCTAAAGCAGCCGAATATGTTTGGGTCTGAAGCCTCATAGCCATAAAACTATCAGTCCTAAAAAAAAAAAAAAAAGTCACAAGTATCACAAAAGCTTCACAATAATCTTTTATTAGACCATGCAGGTTGGCATGTTTACTCTCATAATAAACAGATTAGGATCAGTTCTCCAATTTTATTGTAGGAAAGCACATAATGAGTTTTGCATAACTAATCTCTGTGCGACTGAAAAGTACTTCTTTGCTGCTTTGTTTAGCCACTAACCCTTTTTCCCCCAGAACCTCTTTCTTTCCGCCAGGCCTGCCAGAAATGTTGTGTCTCCTGCTCAGTAAGTTCTGCTACTTGCACCAACTCCCAGCATTAAGAACCTGTGCCCTCCCCCAGCTGTCCCAACTCCAGCACAGCTGTACAGGGCACATCTCAGGATGTAGCCTGCAGCGATTGGCAATTCCACTTGGAGATTCATTTCCTACACCAGGACAACAGCACTTCAGAATTATTTTTGCTTTTGCTAAAAAAAATTAATACCAATGCACAAGTTTCTGAGAATTCCAAAAGCGTGGATTTATGTGCCTAAACATTTACGTAGTAAATAGCTTCAGCAGAAAACCCAGAGGCCGGGGAAGAGCCTTTGGCCCCAGGCAGTTATTGCTGGAATGCTGACTGAGAATTGTCTTTGTTTGTTGATTCAATATAGAAAAATGTGTTTTCTTGAAACTGTCCTGAATTGTATGAATAACTCCTGTATCGGTCTACCTGCTGTGTATCAGAGGAGCCCAATTGTTCTCCATCAGCTTTACTTTTATGGTTGACATGTGGTTTCAGTACATTGGAACACAGAATATTGTTTTCAATTTTATCCAACAATCCCATAAAGATATTTTTTGTAGTGACAGACTTCACCGCCTGGCAGGTTTGGGCATTATATACACTTTGACAGGTTTGCTGAAGGGGATGGTCCCCTCGATGCCATTTTCTGGCTGTGGCAGAGCCTCCGGGCTCTCGTTCCAGGTAGACTTGGCAATCTTGGCTGCTGCCTTGCTCCTGTTGGAATTGTAGGCCAGCAGCAGCCGCACTTCAATCTGACACGGCTCTGAAGGGAAAGAACAGAACAAACCATACTTGAAATCACAGAGGTTGAAAAAGACTGCTAAGATCATCAAGTCCAATTGTCAGCCCATCACCGCCATGCCCACTGACCATGTCCTCAACTGCTGCCGTCATTAACAAGCAATGCTGAATGTTTGATCATACAGACTGACCAGATGGAGCACAATAAATAACCTTTTCCCACAGCTCAGCTAACAATTCCCTAAAACTCATCGTTCTGCCTCAGCATCAACTCTAATCTGTAGCTTTCAGTCAACTCTTCTGCTTCTGCTACGCAACGGTTAATCTGTATTTTTGTGTTTGGATGTCCTCCATTGTAAGCACATACTGTCTTTTATGATCTTCATGAATTTCTTTTTCATGAATTGAGGTAATCTGCCCACTTTGTCAACTGACCCTGTCCTCTCAGCCCCTCCCAGCTTGATGTTCTCACCACCTGTGAAATGCCTAAGCACCGATGTCAAAGTTCTTAACTTAAATAATTGCTAAAGGAGAGACCAGAACAGAATCCCATAGGTCCCCATTTGAAATACCCTTCCAGCATACACTGCAAAAGCAGAAATAAGGACCTAGTTCAGCTCCTGCTACAGAACCAACTTTTAAATCCTGATACTCCTGACAATCCCATTTTTGTTCTCCAGAACTAAAAGATAAGCAGGATGAACAAATACACAATGGAGGTGCTATGTAAAATGGAGTAATTGAAAGGGAACATAGCACCGGAAAAAAACCCCTACTAATTAAAAATATAGATCACCAAATCCTATTAAATAGAAAAAAGTGGTCAAAAAAAATATACCCCATACTTGAATTATGTGAAGGGTTTAAAAGAAAATGGGAGAAAGGGAGCTGCAAAAAATAATTGCTTTTGTTGTCTGAAGCCATGAACCAATTACTGCAGCGCTTTCATTGAGAAGTGTGAATGCCATCTATGATTGAACGTGGATGTGGGAGTCACCAGAGGGTGTTTTTTTTAGGACATTCAAAGGGTGAAAGTTTAATTAACAGTGAAATTATGCTGTTGAGTACACAAAGTTCCAAAGGTTCTCTGCTGTGCTCAAATACCTGTCAGATCCAGAACAATGAACGACAATGAATCAGTTCACTGTGACTCCTTGCCTTTAAATGAGGATGCAAACCTGACTCCTACAATGAATCTTGCTCTGCACAGCTATGGGTAACATGCTGCATTTAAAAGCTCCCAATGCTGGAAGTCCGCATGTGCAGCCCCTGGCGCACAGCAAGGGCCTTCTCTTTAGGACAGCAGCCCCTCTGTTACCTGCAGGACCCTAGACACTGTCAAAAAAGATGTCCCTGTAGATGCAGGTGCCCCTGCTCATTGCAGGGCAGTTGGACTAGATGATCTTTAAAGGTCCCTTCCAACTCAAAGATCCTCTGATAAGATGCAACTGCTCAGAGGCTGTAAGAACAGAAATCTGAGCGATGCTAAGCGTAGATCAACACCCCTTGTATACTCCATGATCCTCAGAGGTGCCAAGACTGAGGGCACACGAGAGATGAGAATCATACACTCCCATCCTCCAAATGTGTAGTAACACAATCCCATGAACTTGTTTTGATAACATTACCTGTCCAGGCTGTGTGTGAGAGGTAGACCTGAGTTATCAGTCTGTGCCTTCCAGGACCAGGATTTCTGAAGTCAGCTGGCTTAGGATGGATTAACTGCGCTTGTCCATCTGGATACAATACCTATCAAAAAATAAATAACAAAAATAGATGTATGACAACTGGGCTTTTGTACAATGTACAGAATTTTTGGGCTTTCTGTTCAAGCTCTAAAGGCAGGAAGCTGTGCTTTAGCTCAGAGCCAGGAGCCAAGTTGATCTAGATTTAAGGAACACACAGTTCTACATTGGCCATCTAAACCCATAGCATGCAGGAGGAGGTATCACCTTTCTCTACACTGTCAAGTTTTTAGTTTCTCTACTGAGCAGTGCATCCACATATTTACTTGAATCATACCACACCCTTCTTAGCTACAGCTTAGTTAACGGTAATGACACAACAGCAAGAAGAAAACTGAACGTTAAAAACGAAGAGCCAAAGGCATGCCAACTTCTGTAGTGTTCAGAACACCTCCTTTTGCTCCTCTTCCCAATATACAAGCTGGTGGAAGTTCACCCCCATGTTTGTCTATAATGTTCTATAATGTGCTGGGCACACATGTGACAGCAGCATAGCACACACGGAGCACAGAATGCTATCAAAGGGCTCAAACTCTCAGGAACAACAGAAGTGAGCCCAAGGCACTATATGCAATACGGTTTTGCATGTGAGGTTACACCACAGAAATCCAAGAGCATTAAGG